CTGTTGAATTGTTTCTGGTCAGTTCAGCTCCAGCACTTTGTCACACATGAACTGAAAAACTTGATTTTGAGATCCTAGGTATACCTGACTGTACATACATACATACTTACATATGGACTAGGTTTGGACTAGTTTTGACAACATGTGCATGTACAACATGTATACCAGAACTACCAAACTGAGAAAAATTAATTGAAAATCTGTATTTGGAGGTTAAAAATTAACACTGCTATGATTGTTTCAAGTGGGAAGGATCATTGCTGCCTTGTATTTTGGGTGATCAGTTATCCTACTGTCCTTGGAAGGATTCCCTTTCTCAGTTTTAATTGAGCTCAAAGATTTGTGATCAGAATCATTTTCAAGGGGTGGATGATGGAAACGTATGAATTCATAGAGCTGTGGCCAGGTGAAGAAGCTGATGTGAAGATCTCTATCCATTCAACTCTTCTCTTCATGATCTTGTTGATTTTTGTACAGGGTGATGCCCAACAAGGGGGCAGCTGGTAATTATTTCAGGCTTTAAAATGTATTTGGATGAGGCATTACCTGTATTTTCTCCTGAAGGATTCCTGCAGAGTTCAAATCAAGCAGTCCAACGCTTTCAGTGATTGTTTTTAAGAGACCCCAACGCACCAGTTTGTAAATCTCACTCACTCAGTGGGCAGCTGGCCCCATGTGCTGTACCTGCTTCCAGGACAGCCATTTTCTTTGCTTTTTGTCAACAACCTTCACTGAAATCGATCCGTGATGTGTTACGGTTCTTTAAAGGGCTGTGGCAGCGTGCAGAATGGTTTGAGTACGAAATGAAACTCACTGGGGGGTTTGAGCTGCGTGTGGCCGTTTGCCACAGACCTTACTTGTGCCTTCCGTTCAGTTCCAGTAAGCCACTGCTGTCCTGCCTGAGACTTGGCTCGTATTCCCAGGTAAGAAGCAGAGCCTCCTGACCCGCTCATGTTGGCGGTGTGCTGAAGGTACCTGGGTGCCTGTTGGAGGAGAAGCCGGGTGAGGGGGAGCTGTAATTAAAGTTAACCAATCCAGATGCTTTAATGACCGCTTGTGTCCCGGGTGACAGATGGAAAAGGACGCTGTGGAGATACGGGGTGTGTCACAGCGTCTGTTGTGGCTGGGGACAGTGTAACAGTCAGGGACAATGTAATGTGCTTTCTCCTTTGGTCTCGATTTTTAATGACAATTCCATTGGACAAAAAGCATGTAGTCAAAACGCTCTTGAACATAACGTTCTCATATTCCATTAGGTTGCTCAGCAGCTTTCGAGCTGTGACTTTGAGCTGTGCCAACAGTTCTGCCTTTCCTCTCCAAAAGGCTCTGAACTGCAACCATTGGGCTATGCCGTTCCCTCCCATTATCCTGCTGGCCTGATGTGGAGACGTCAGCAGCCCTGGGGTAGCAGGAATGAACGCTTGGAGAAGTGTCCCAGGCCTTGCTGTGAGTTGGGCTGCAGGTGGCTGTGGCCAGGAGAGCCTTCCTCCACCCACAGGTCCCCCAGACCATCGCCCTGTGTGGGCATTTCGTGCTAGTTAAGCTCTGCCTTTCAATTCATCATTAGTCACGTTCTTCTTGAGACCTTTACATACATTAAAGGGCAAAATCGCTTTCTGGCTTCCTTTCCCTTTCTCCTTCTGGGTAATGATTACCCTTTCCTAGTTAGCATGTTGCTTATACTGCCTTTTTGCTTCTTGCTTTTTTCTTTTTTGTCCTGAATGGAAATGGCGAAGACATCTGTGTGTTTGATGAACAGATATTGTTATTATTCCATGCTTTACATGTTTTTTTTGTTCCACTTTTAATTCATGTACATCGTATTTAGATGTTGTCAGACCTACACAATTATCAAAGATCAAGATTTTTGTTGTGCTACATTCTATTTCAAAACCCTAATGGATCATTTTAGTAATTGGCTTTAGACTGTAACTAATGTGTATTGGTGAGAGGTCCATAAGAATATACAAATTGATAGGAAATGGAACATGAGCTCTTATTTAAGCTTATATGGAACATGAGCTGTTATTTAAGCTTATAGTGTTTTCTGTTCCTGTTTGTGCCTCAGGTAAACAGCCCAACAGGCAGGTGATGACCCCAAACAGCACAGCACCAGGCCTTTACATTAAGAAGGCTCTGCTGCTTGGAGGCTGCAAACCATCTGATTTTCTTCTCCAGATTATTTTTTTTTTTTGGAAATTCTCCTCCAGTTTTGTCCTACATAATAGCAGGAGGGTAAAACTGCTGTGTCAGTCTCATAGAAATCATGTGTGTTTCATTGTTAGCTGTGAGCATTTTCTTACAGCCAGTGCATCAGCTGGATAGTAACAAAAACAAGTCCTGGTTTCTGCATTATCTGTAGCAGAATGATGATGCTGGGTTCGGAGCAAGCTGCCAAAGATCTCTCCTGTTTGCTCAGTAAGCAAAGCTCCCTTCCTGCTTGCATTTTCCCACTGTATCCATTTGCACGTTGCTCACACACTCAGGGTTTGGGAGCAGGTAGAGCTGCAGCAGGTCAGAGCATTGGTCCTGCCACAGCACTGTGTGCGGAATGATGGCAGCAGTGAGGACCTGCCACATCAGGACTATCCTTGTAATGGTCAATCCTTTAAGATGACCAATGTCTGGAAAGGTAGGAGTTGAAATCAAATAATGCTGGATAGGTTTCGGCATTTCCCTGTTACTGATTCACATTACAAACTCTTCTGGTTTTGTTTTTCCTAAAGGAAAAAAAAAAAGTATTTTTCTATCAGTTTTGATTTTGCCAGCCTCAACTCCCTTCCGTTTACTCTAGTTTGGTGTGAAAGAGCAGCTCTCAGTCTCTTTTGTGCTTTTTTCCTTCCTTGGCAGTTTGTTTTGCATTGTGTGCTCCTCTGTGGTGTTCTGTAATAGAAATAACTTCTTTATCTGCTCTTTCTTTGGCAATTTTTTTTTAAATTTCCTAACTCTTCAGTGAAGAAGGGATGACTTGAAAGCAATGCAGGCGTTCTTGTGCTAAACAAACATGTCACAGGCTTTTTCATAACCTGACGAAGCTCTGTTATAGATGTGGGTTAGGCTTCTTTATTGCCTTCTCCTTGCTGAGATGCTAGGTTGCTCTGAAAGTAATGCCTCCTGTTTACTTCCTTGGAAACTACAACAGGTACAAAGAGCACAATACCTCTGCTTGATGGAGCAGGTCCTTGGCTACCAAGCACAGCACAGCCACCACCATTAGCTGTGCGTTCTTGCCACTGATGAACAAGATCCTGCATGCCGTGCTCCGGTGCTGAGACACATTGCTCATAGGAAACTGAAGGATGGGTTTCTGCTCAGCTTTCAAAATCATACATGGGCTTATTAATTGGTGCTTATTTGCTGAGTCCTTTGGGTATGATGCTGGTTTTGGTTATTAAACTGGGATTTTACTGAGTAGGATTGCATGGATAGAAACTTGAAGCTGGGGAAATGACGTCTTGTATTCTGACCAACAGAATACAGTTGGTATTCTGTTCTGAAGTGCAATGCCTGCTTGTAGTAAAATATTGTTCTCAAAATATGAGCAGGGCCGTCCTTTATTGCCCCTGCTGTGATGGCAATTAGCCACAAGGCTTTGGGTCATCTGCAGGAAGAAACCTGGACGCTGACCTTGTCTGTGGGGGCAGGGGAAGATGTAACAGTGACACATGGCAGCTAACGAGCTCACAGAGTTTTGGAGATCTTTCAGATTTCTGTGCACAGAACAGAGGGCAGTTGTGTGCCTGTAGGAAACTGTGATTTTATTGGCAAGTGGAAAGTCTTGTAAATTACCAACTCGACTGTTTCTGTTAAACAGATTTGTTATCCTACTTCCCCTCTGCAAGTCTGCTTTGTGATTTCAATTTCTGGCAGCACGTGGAGCCAGGACAGCTAAGGAGGGCTGTGTGTGTGCTGCAGACAGCAGGCACTTGGGGGCTGCCTGCTGGGAGGGCTGCTGCATGGCACTGCTGCTTTGGTGTTTATCCCATGCAAAGACAAAGCATTGGTGTACAGTACGTGCAAATGAATCCCTGCCACGCTGGGGTTTGTTAGGCTTTTGTAGATGTGTTTAAGTCGTGCATCAGAAGTAGGCTGAAGTCTTCAAGAAATAAAATCTATCACCTCCATCAAAGTGACTGTTTCAAACCGGGTAGCTGAAAGAAGGGCTGAATTTCCTCTGCCGTTCAACCTTTATAAAAGCAAAACGTTCTGCCAAAGGTGTGCCATGGATCACATCACCTGCTCCCTGTAGCTGCTGCTGGCTGGAAGCTTGTGAACTGTTTGCCCCCTTGCTACAAGTAGGGCCACCAGCCTCCACATTTAATACTAGTATATATGTATACTGCCAGGGCCCCATCCAACCTGGCCTTGAGCACCTCCAGGGATGGATGGGGCATCCACAGCCTCTCAGAAGAAGTGTTGGGGTAGCAATATCTGCCTCCAGGAGCTGAGCAGCAGCACCAAAAGTTCCTGCGTGCCTTGTTTTCAGTGCTGAGCAGAAACCTCCCAAACTTTTGAGACGCTTAGGGAAATAATCAACTTCTGAACTGCGTGACAAATGGGGTTTGTGTATAGATTTAACTGTGAAAACGTTTGAGTGGCTTCAAAATGAGAGGGATGGCAAGCACATTGGACACAGTGAAACATCACTTGGAGTAATTAGCATAGTGGGTACACAGCCAACAGCATTGCTCCACAGCCCACAGTGCAGAGAAATACCTTGAGGAAAGGAAGGCATCAAAACAGATAGCAGAGCAAGTGTGAACAACCTGCCATATTAATCCCGTTAGGAGCTGATGGGAGCTGTGTGCGGTGGGGTCATGGCTGAGGCCAGGCTGGGCTGCTGCGCTGCTGCTTAGCTTAGAAGCATTCAGTTTGGAGTCCCTGCTCAAAGCTGAGCTGCTCGCCGAGGCTGGCTTCCCCTTGCAGCCTCTGGGGATGGTGGGGATGCTGGGGGGCCACGCGTGGCAAACGTGCAAGGCTGACAGACCCTCTCTTTGCAGACTCCTGCAGAGCAGGCCAAGGCTCGATTGCAGCTGGTGCTGGAGGCGGCGGGTAAGTCTTGCTGTTACAAGTAACGCTGCATTCTTCAACTGTGTTTCTCTTTTATGATATCAGAAAAACGAGGCCTGTCAATATAGTATTGTTTTCTGTTGGGCACGAGTCAAGCCCCTTTCTCTATCGCTCGCTTCTGTTTCTGGTTAAGCTGAAACTGCTGTGCGTCACCTCTGGCGTTGGCTGAATGTCTCTGGAGAAATGAAGTGAGGACTTCGTTGTCTTCACAGGTTTGGCCTCTTGCTGCTACTGCTGAAAGTACTCAAAAACTTGGTTTTGTTGTTTTATTTTATAGCAGTGAGCTGAATTGGTGCAGGTAAGTACTTACATTGATTTATTTGAAGTGGTTGCAGAAATAGGTAGTTTTCTCTTTGAAATGCCTATGCTGAAGTTTGTAATCTTGTTTTTTTGAGTCCTATTTTATTTTCCCCATTAAAAATGTCAATTTTTCACTTAAAAAGGAAAAAATTCAACATTTCAAGCACGTTGTAATAAACACGTGTTTGTCTGTAGTTCAGCCTTCATCTCTAGTATGTGCATTTGTAACTTAAAAGCAACAATTCCCACTCCCAGTGTTTGTATTTCCTCCTCAGCAAAGCCTTCTGTTCCAAGGGTTATCTGTCTTCTCACATTCCTGGATTTTTCTCCAGAAATGCATTTACCCTTCTGTATTGTAGCTCCAAATGCATTCGTTGTTCTCCGTAACTTTTAATAAATCTCTGAAGCACGCGATGATAAAGTGGTTGTGACAGCACTGACCTAAAAAAGTGCAATTTGTTTGTACTGCTCACATCTGTCACACCTCATTTTTTAATTTAACACCTGGAAGTGTACAGAAGATACCCATGAGCTGTAGATCACTGCGATTTGGGTCCCAGAAATATCCAGAAACGTATGAAAGGCCGATGACATTTTCTGATTTAAATATTCACCGTTGAAGTCAGAAATGTGGATTGGGGCTGCAAACTGTTGATAAAGAATTCAGGAGAGTTAATCTGTTTCTCTTATAGAAAATACAGGAAGAAATTATTTCCCATCTTTATCTAGGTGTTGGGAATCTTATACTTCTGAGCTCATCCCCTATCCTTCTCCCAGTCCCACACTCAGTCAGTTACACTGAATCTTTCTTAAGGTGGTTTAAGAGGAGTGTTGGGTTTGTTAATGCTGTTGTTTCAATGTTCTGTGTCTGTTCATTGCAAAACCAGCACTCCAGCTTTCACAAAATAAGTGTTAGAGCATTACTGAGCAGCTACACGTCTTCAGTTGGCTTTTCAAGGAGCTCGAAATCAGGAGGTTCGTTGTTGCTGTTGTGGCATGGGCTGAAAATACCTGTTTATTTTAATCTGCATGTTAGCAGTGATGAACAAAGCTGTTCTTTGTATACATGGTGTTCAGTGCAGCGTCCATCCCAGAGTTGTGCATTCACTTGTGAATGTCTGCCTGCCACATGGTGGGAATTGCTCTGCTCCTGCTAGGTGGGGAAAAAGCTGTGCTCTATTCAGAATATATTGCTGCATTTTGGTGACCGTTCGTACACAGGTGTCTGAACAAACAAGTTTTAACTCTGCTGTGGTTCAAAATTAACAGCAAGCATAGGAGAGGACTTTGGGAAGGTCCCTTCCCTGTTCATCTCTGTTGCTGTGCTCCACTTACATTGGCATCTCCCCTTTCTGTGCCATTTCCATGCCAGACAGTAATCTGACATTTCCTTTTATCTTTGTATAGAAATGTATCTTTCTATTTCCTTCTGAAGATTTCCGTATTGTTCTGCACTTAAAAGGAATGATCCCAGAAGAAAATTTACTTTGCTTGCTTAGCAAATTTTTGATTCTTAACATGTTAGAAATACCTTTGAATGAATATAACACAGATAACAGACAACTGTACATAAGCTATGTGAGGTTACAAAGTATATTAAACATTAATGTGTATAAATAGAAGCTTGTTTGTCTGTAAAGTATTTGTGAAATGTTTGTTGTAAGAGCAGACAAACTTCAAGTTCAAACTGGAACTGCTGATCTCTTGGTACTACCAGTATTTAAGCTGATGATCTGCTCTTCATTGTAGCCCTGCGAAATGTAGAGTTTTATTTATTTATTTTACTATCTAGGTTTACCTTTTGCTTAACCCATCAAGTAGTCTAAATTCTAACACGTTCTTTACCAATGCTGCTGTTGCAGATTAAATATAGTAGCAAAAAAGGGGAGGCTTGGGACATGCCTGCTGCGTGCTGGTGGAGAAGCCAAGTTACAGTTCTGTTGTGCTTGTGGTCCGAGGAAAGAAACTGCTAGCAGCATTGCTTAAGTTTGCTCAGGTACAATCCTTCATCTTCCATTACTATTTTCTCCAGGACTTCCCTCGATTCCTAGAACACAAACAAACATCAGGGAAAACTGTTTTGGTGTTTTCTTCAACTTGGATGTAGGAAGAAATACGTATTTGTGTGCAGCCAGCTTTTGTGTCACTGGAGTTCAGAACGTGCCGGGATGTTTTGTTCAAACGTGGCAGCAGGAGCTCCTCGCTCGTCTCCAAGCACAGAAGGGTTTGGTCCATGAGCTGGTTTGGCACTCTGTGTTAAGCCCATGCAGCAGCTCACCTTGTCTTCATGCCAGGTAGACAGGAGATGCTTCGGGGGGTGTGATTCCAAATGGAAGCTGGGTGCAGAACTTCAGATGTTCTGTGATTTGCTTTGTTTCTTGTCATGCTTCTGGGAAGCATTCGCACGTCAGAAGCAGTCAGGGCTGTCTTCTCAATCTGAAGATGTCTGTGTACGTGATTTTTTGCTTTTCGTTGACCAGTTGATGTGTAAATTATTTGGCTTTACTCTTATGGCTTTAAGCAAGAGAAAGAACATAACACACGAGTAACGTTAGGGATTTTGAATGCAGGTTTTGAAAGTGCTTGGCATGCCAACTTTTCCATGGCCTGTTCTCATGCAATGGCCACGGCTTCAAGAAATTAGTGTTATGTCATTGTGTTCCCTTCATTCTTTACTGCTCACTTCATCACCAGGGATGCTCCATTTTGGGGAAGGTGGGTGTCCAACGGCCTCCTCATCTGGCACAGCCCTCTTGGGGGTTGCAGGTGTGAGCTGTAAAGCTGCTTTTAGAGTCTTTGCCATTCATTTGGGATATATTGACTGATTCCTCTGGAACAAAAGAAAGCAAGTAGTAAAGCAGCCACTGTTTTCAGTGTGCTTCTGGCTTTTTGCTGTTGCTCTTTGGGAGATCAGAATTACAGCTTCTGGTCTCTGCAGGAAGGCTGGGAGAGCACGGTGCATTCACCTGGTGAGGGGCGGAGGGGAAGGTGGTCATAGCGTGCCAGGGTGAAGTGTTGATGCCAGAAGCTTTGCCTCTGCCCTTCATTCGTGGTGGTGACCCCACCGCACACTTTGTTAAATACTGCTGCTCTTTGTGAGCACAGATTAATTTCAGTATCTGTGCTCTCATTAAGGAGCGCAACATCTGAAGACGTGAAGCGCTCCCCTCTAATTCTTAGGGTAACTGGGTTTTGATTTACAAAAACTGCTGTGGGTCTCACGTGCACGCTTGTATTTGCAGGGCTTTATTCCGTTATCCTCCTTAGTATTTAGGCACACGGAGGCCTTTTTAGGGCACTCTGACGGTGCTGCAGCAGCTCGCCACGTTCGAGCAGATGTTAAGCAGGCAATAGTTGAATGTTAATTTTGGGAGGGTGGGATGTTTAAGCCTATCTGAAGCATGTTGCATGTGGGCCTTCCAGACTTAGCTACAATGCTTTGTCTCTTGGGAGAATTTTAAAGCTAAACCTCTTTCTTTTTGTCGCTCTATATGGACTCTCTCAAGTCAGTATAAAGCAGATCATCCCTAGGCTAAAGCTCTTCAGCTTTTGTTATTGGGCTCTGTAGGCCTGTAATTAGGCCTCCTGGCAGGCCTTGCAGGCCAGTTAATGGTCATATGGAGTTTCTATGAGGCAGCCTGGCTTAGCGCAAATCCTTCGCGGGAATACGTTTATGGGTCACTTCCTACCAGGACCGGGCTTTGTGTGCCTGCCCCCGGGCTGACAGGAGCAGGTTCCCTTGACCATGGCCAGCTCGCTTCGCGCCGCACAATCTCCCACTAATCCCCAGTGTAAACAGAGGATTTAGCAGAGCTTCTGTCACTTACAGTTGCCAAACCACTTGGGTGTCTGTGATTCCTTTCCCAGCCTTCATTACCGAGGAGCACAGGAGATTTGAGCTCGGTTTGCTATTAAGCATTTGCTCGTGTTGCAAATGCTGAGGAAAAAGTTTCCCGTGCGCTGCGTCCTGCTTGGCTAAAAGTGATAAGAATGATAGGGAGCCTTGGAAGGCAGCGGATTTGTGCCGTTAATTGCTGTGTGGCAGCCGCGTTTCCTCATTAAATGAAAACGTGGACAAATATCCCTAAATGGAAATGTGTTGATGTGAGTTGGACCTTGCCGACCATCCATCCTAGCAAAGCAGCCTGAAAAATTTTCCAAGCGGAGGTTTCGTATTGTCCTTATAAAGGCGATTACAAAAGGCAATTGATCTGGATTTTCAAAGGTCCAGAGTTGAAATAAGTGACTGATCCATTTTTGGAATCTGCATTTCAATCTGTGGCTGAAAGAGCATTCGAGAATAGGGCATTTCTGTGCAAGGAATTCCTGATGGAGTTTATTTAAAGGCAACTGGAGAGCGGAGGCCCTAATATGACGTTAGCGAGGTGCGGGAGAAATTAATGAATAGAAATAAGCGTTCACCATTTATCAGATCTGTTTGGGAGCAGTTCTGGGTATCAGCTATTTTACTCATTATCTTTTAAATTATGCTATCAGATTGTTGCCTTTAATTTTGTACCATGCATCTTTATTACAGTTCACGTAGTCCTTGCGGAGAAAATAATGGAATAGAAGCACTTTGTCTTTAGCCGTGTAAGAATGCGAGTGTTTTATAATACTTGTGTTTCTTTATCTCCACGCTATAATGCGTTTTATTAGAGAGAAAAATCCTCATTTGTGCT